AGTTCAGGCATGGTGTGAAAAATGCAGGTTTCCATTTGTCAAGGCTGAACAAAAAAGGATATAAATGCAGCGAGTCCCACAGGAAGGTCAAAAATCACATCTAAGCATACAGTGGATATAAATCAAAGTGAATTGTGGCACAGGAAAGAGGCTTGGAACAGCAAGTCTGAAAACGAGGTGTCAGGGGAAAATAATTAAACTCCAGGCACTGTCAGAACAAAACTTCAGTGCAAAGAGGTGGTCAGCAGTGCAGTGCTGTACTGTGGATCAGATCATTTTGGAGGCAGTGACAGGAGGTAATCACAGCTTTGTTTTGTACTGCAGCAGATCAATGTGCTTTTTGCACTTTGACACCTGTCCATACCCTCTGCTAGTAGGAACGCAGAGTTTCCACTTCTTTCAACAGCTTGATATAAAACAAACTAGAACAGGCCTCCATGTAGGAGCTAAACAAAGGGCATATTTTCTCTTCTGTGTGTCAAGAATTTATTTTTGTGTGTGTGATCAGTTTTATGCAGCCTTAGAACTGGTTGCTAGAAGTGTTTTTGTCAAAAAGCCTTAATACATTAATTGTAACAAACTCAGAAGTCCGAAGTCGTTCTGGAAACATAAAACTCCTAGTGAGATAATTTAAAACTGTCTTTTTTTTTTCCTTTTAGACAAATGCTCTTCTGTAGAGTGACCCTTGGAAAATCCTTTCTTCAGTTCAGCACAATGAAAATGGCTCATGCCCCTCCAGGGCACCACTCTGTTATTGGCAGGCCAAGCGTGAATGGACTCGCATATGCTGAATATGTTATCTACAGAGGAGAACAGGTATGGAGGTTAGCAAGGATGGGGTTTGTGGAAGGGCAGAACTTGGAGCTGAGGAGGGGATGTGACTAGTTTCCACACTAAGCGTGCTATGATAACCTAGTTGTTTAGTTTTTTTTTTCTTTTTCCCTTTTAAATGTGGAAATAAACAATGGACTGTATCAGGCCAGCAAAGGCTACTCCTTTCCACTGAGCTGCTCTTGACTAACACCATGTGGAGTTGCCTAATTCCCCCCTGTGAAAGCACTACTGGAGTCTGTTAAGAGTTGTAGTTTCTCCCAGGAGATACCATTTCTCCCATTGCATTTTACTGGCATTACTGCAGTAACAAGAACACATGTATTTCTGAGGCTCTTGTAGATAATGTGGATTCTAGGCTTCTTACTGAGAGATTCCCAGCAATGGCAGTGTTCCCATCTGCCAGAGACTACCCTTAAATGGCAGCTGAAGTAGCACAGCAATCTTCAAGAGGTCATTTTTAATTTGAATAATTTAGCTAGACCGTTAATCTAGAGAAGTGGTTTTGCTTACTACTCTGGATGGCTCCAAGATTATATAAGTTCAGGTTGGAAGGAATCCTGGGGAGGTCACCTAGGCCAGCCTCTTGTTCATGCTAAATTCAGACCAGATTTCTGAGGGCTTTCTTTGCCAGGCAGGTCTTGAAGGCCTCGGAGAATGGTGTTTCACACTGTCTTTCAGCAGTTTGTTCCTCTGCTTAATTATCCTCAGGGCAAAAAGTATGTTCCTCATATCCAGTAGGAACCTCCCCTGTTTTATTAATCTGACTCTCCTGCTGTGCAGCTCAGAAAAGAATCTGGCTCTGTTTTCTCAGTAGCCTTCCATACATGATGGAAGATTGCTGTCAAGAGTCCCTGAACTGAACAAGACCACCTCCCTCAGCCTCTGCTTGTTTATCCTGTACTCTCTTCCCCCTGACTGTCTTATTGGTCATTTGCTGAACTTGTCTTCAGCTTGTTGACATCTTTTTTTTGTATTGGAGGGCCCAGAAGTTGTGTGCAGTTGTCTCGGTGTGGCCTAGTGAGTACTAAATAAATGGCAGTTATCACCACACTGCTGTTGATGCACCACAGGATCCTGCTGGCCTTTTGCTGCCAGGACACACTGTTGATTCTGCTGTAGCTTGCTGTCACCCAAGGGACTCCAGCACCTTTCAGCAGAACTGCTTCCCATCCTGTGATGTTACAAGGAATTAGTTCATCCCCGGTGCGTTTGTCCTTGCTGGATTTCATGAGGCTTCTGTTGGCCCGGTCTCCTCTCCTCTGTCACTCAGGTTCCTCTGAATGGGAGCCTGCCCTCCAGCAACTTTAGCTTTGTTCCTGCCAGCTGTCTGGAGAAAATGCTGGACAGACAGACACCTGGCTTACATGCATTGAGTGTGCCAAGTATTTTACGGCCAGTGAAGGCATTTGTAGGTCACGTGGCAAGTCAGTGAGCATTTTAGGGTCAGACTACATTGGCCATTTGAGGTTTTAACTTCGAGGCACTGACTGATCTGTAGGATTACCTAACAAGGAGAGTAACTCTGATTGTGAGCTGCTGTTGCACACACATTTTCTGGCAGTGCCTGCAGGGAGAAACACCTTTCTTCCTGCTGGTGCAGTAACAACAGCATTAACTACATCGAGCTGTTCCCACTTGGTGCTGGCTAGGTTTGAAATCTTTTTTTTTTCTTTTGCACTCTGCAAACAAAGAGCTGATGCTGGCACTGTTCTTCCCCATCCCTGTTTAGTGAAATCCAAAAAGTGAACTTACCCTTGCATAAAGCAATGTTGTTTTTTTTCTTGACTCAATTTTCAGGCCTACCCAGAGTATCTCATTACATACCAGATCGTGAAACCAGAAGCTCCCTCACAGACAGCAACAGCAGCAGAGCAAAAGACCTAGTAGCTACAGAGCAGTGAAGAAGGATGTGACTTTCAATCTTGGACTGGATGGATACGTGTTTCAGAAAATCAGTATCATATAAAATCCATAACAACCTGGAAATAAGCTGTATGTCTTTTATAAAGCATTACTGTCTTGATGAATACAATATGAGTAACTCTTGCATACTCAACTGCTACTGTTCCTTTTGAGGAAGGTTTACAAGGGACTGCCTTTTAATAACATATCTCAGGCTCCTAGTCTCTGCAGTTACCATGTGTAAAATAATGTTATTTTGATCTAGACTTTGGTAACATTATTGTGCAAATGGAAATCTTTATCGGTGCCATCTCACGTGTTAAAATTTCAGACACTACTCTTCTAGTTATTTTATTTACAAATAAATTGCATTAAGCCCATCATTTTCTTTTCAGCATACACCATTCCTTTTATGTTTTCAAGAGATCCTAGTCAACTATTTATTTTCCTTTTGATTTCTGAATTTGAGCCTGAACCTTCTTAAAGATATTTTGCACAAAGTCAATTTGACTAAAATCATTAACAATGCAATATAAATTTTATCTGAGAAGGGGCTAGGTCCAGTTCTTCAATATAGGGGCCTTTTTGCACACCTCTGAGCAAAGGATAATGTGAGTGAGTGTAACTTAAGAGTGGAAACAAACTGTGTCAGTTTGCTGCTTTGTCCGAGTTGCCTGGGGGAAGCCCTGGGAAGTGCTCACAAGGGTAAAACCAGCCCTTGTGCTTGGAAGAACTTCATAAAGCAGGTCAATGCCTTCTGCTGGCACCTCTAAGAGAACGTGTTATAAGGCTCCTATTAAGCACATGCAGGTTGTGAAATGCTTTCCAGTTACAGTGGCACTATGGTTTTGCTGGGAGATAGCAGGTTGAAAAAGTCAGAAGCTTGCATACAGGAGGGCATGGGTGGTTCATGTCCCTCTGTAATGCAAGACCCAGTAAATGGGTTTCACCCTGGTAAGGGAGAGCATGTTATAGCAGTTTCATGTCATATCTTTGTGCGTGACATCACAGCTGAAGAGCTTAAGGGATTTACAAAAATAGGAATTTTTTTAAATACCGATTTTACATTTTGATGAGAATGAACTTTTAAAAAAAAATCAGTTAGCAAGTGGTTTTGTTTGCAGGTATACCAGAGAACAAAGCTAGGATTTATTCACTCTAATCCCCTTCCCTGCAAGTTCCCAGACTTATTTCACTGGGTAGGAGAATGTTATTTTTAAGCATTGCACAGCACAGCATCAAACAATTTCAAAAGTCCCCCTCACGAAGGATGTGCATTTAATAAAAGTAGAAAGCTATTACTTTTTTGTGTTGTTTTTACAGCTTCAGAGAAGATTGAGAATTGAGCTGTTTTAAATTATTATTTTTTTTTTAATAACAGCCAATACCAGGAGATGTGCTTCAGTGTTGAGCATGTAATGATTGGAAAAAAAAAAACCACACTCCTTTGAACAAAACACGCTGTAAGTTTCCCTGTCAACCAGCACTATTTACTATCTGATGATCCAGTTCATGCCTTCAGGTTTTATCCCTCTTGAAGCAAGGAAACAACAGAACAATGTGCTTTTAGTTTATAAAAATATGTGGTCCCCACGAGTGGGATTTTGCTGACATATTTGGATAAAACCAACTTAAACCTGAAGAGCTTTTCACTTCATCGTTAAGACACACAACTTTCATTTTTAACATCGAGGATGTTGAAGCAGGTTCTCCTCACAGAGGAATTTCCCCCACTGTAAAATCAGTCATTGGATGCAGTCTGGCTACCTGCACATCATCTGTTTGTAATATCTCTAAAGAAAAGCTTAGAAATAGCAATACTCCAACAGATCTTGAACTTTGGGGTGTATTTTTCTTGAGCTGGCAGTGGATATACGGTTCTCGCTTCATTTTGTGACCTGGTTAAATATGTAGCTTCGAAGTCCAAGCCAGGCTCTAGCCTAGTTGTCCTTTTTAATCAAATCTCGTGGATGAAATTGGGTGCTTGTATTTTGGCTACTTGTTTAGTAGTGTTAGGGTTGCAAAGATCACCACTAGGCTTTGAAGCTTTGTATTCAAGTTTGGGGTTTGTTTTTAACTTAGCTAATAATGGAGTGGGGACATGTGCCTATCTACACTAGGGTTTCAGACAGTGTTGAGAGCATGTGCTGCTCACCACCCCCAGTTAGACATAGTTTTAAATGGTAAAACAGTTGTGCTGCTTAGGTGAGCAAAACGGCTGACGTGTGGGTGTGGAAGTTAAAAGCTTTACATCTTTCAAAACCAAGAACAAACCTAAAAGCAAAAACCCCACCAAGCCCACGCCACATTCTGTTCTTGCTTGTTGTTTCCTGTGTGCTGATCGAACTAGTCTGGATTTCTTCTGCAGCCTTGAACTTCTAGAGGATAAAAATACTGTCCAGTATCTTTGAACTGCCAGTGTTGATGTATCTGACGTTCTGTGCAGAGTAAAGGTGCTGTGTGAGGAAGTTGTTTTGCAGTGGTTTTTGTCTCGTAATGGCGTGATCTCATATCCATTTGGGGCCAGACACAGAGGACTGACCGTGTGGCTGTGTGTTGTAGAAACCTGTGCAGGAGTAGCATCTGCCTCTCCTGGTGTGTGGTGTTGTAGCTCCTCTTACAGTTTAAAACAAAGTGAGGATCTGCCCATCCGTATGGAAGTTACCCAAGGAAAAAGCTGGTTATGGTTTTGGTGGCAGAGCTGCGTTTGGCAGGTGGTTACAGTACAGATGCTGCTGCTTTAGCTAAGGCAATTAACTTGATGCCTCCTAATTCTGGGGACCTTAAAAATGGCACGCTCCCAATAACCAGGCAGCTGCTGCCTCCAGAGAAGTGAAGGTTTTCAACTTCCTGAGAAGGGCAGTCCCCTGACAATGGGGTGCTCATTTGCAGCACTGGATCATCCATGAGGATGCAAGAACATGCTGGGCTAAGCCATCCCATAGGCTTGGGAGCCTGGGCCCCTCTCCCTGGCTCCCGGAACAACTGCCCTCCTAATTCTGGGGACCTTAAAAATGGCACGCTCCCAACAACCAGGCAGCTGCTGCCTCCTGAGAAGGGCAGTCCCCTGACAATGGGGTGCTCATTTGCAGCACTGGATCATCCATGAGGATGCAAGAACATGCTGGGCTAAGCCATCCCATAGGCTTGGGAGCCTGGGCACCTCTCACTGGCTCCAGAAAGAGCTGCTCCCAGAGACAGAACACAGTGTCTGCTGGCGAAAGGAACAAGTTGTCTGCCAGGCCTGTTGATTTCTTTCCATGTCCCCTCAAGGCAGCATTTTGAAACATCTGTGCAGTTTGCCTTAATAGGCAAAACAGAAAGAAATTTCCACCACATAGCAAAGAAGGGACAGTTCTGCTCTCCACTGCTGAAGCTGTTTCCATAAGACAGATGAGTGAAGTACCTGGTGCAGTGATGTTGCAGTCTGAATGCTGTCAACCAATCTTCTGTTGGGATTAAAAGTGGAGAGTACAGCACCTTAATAAGGTGTATCTTATTTTCTCATCCTTATTTTTATCTGCCAATCTGTTTTGATCCCAGCTCCACGGAGACTGTTACAAACCTCTTGTACTAGTTCCACTGTTTTGCAGTCACTGTTGGTCTGTCATCCAAGGAATGAGCAACGTGTTTTTCTGACCCGTTCCAAACGTTCGCACGTGATGCGGCCGAATCCCACCCCGTTTATGCTGCTGGGAATTGTTTTGCCTGCAAACTTTTATACTTTGCCTATTGATAACAGAATGCCCCCAAATGAATTTCTATACTGAAGCAAAACGAAACCCTCCCCAAAAATGTTCTGCACTGCTGGCTTCAGTGGGGAGCAGGCATAGAAGAGGCGTGTGGTCGATGAGATGGAGTAGCTTCTTGGAGAAGGGTGCTTCCTTGGCTCTGGAAACCAGCTGATCCTATGTTTGCTGCAGGTTAGAGGAGATGGCTGCTCCATGCAACAGCGTGGCCTGTGGGAACTACTTAGGCAGTGGCAAGTCTCAGAAAAAGACTCCTGCATCCTTGCAGTGAAGTCAGAGCTCCTGCACAGGACATGGTACTCGCTAAACTTTCCACACAGGACTGTTAGCAGGAATTACTCAAACAGATTTTTTTTCCAAAGATGGGTAAAAGGAAGGAGCTCACCACAGAACAGGTTAATTTGAACACTAATAATCACTCTTAGCAGCTGAAGGTCAGGAACTATGTGAATTTATTTTTAGCAGGATTTATCCCTTTGTGTGCTGCACTGCCACAGAAAAATCTAGCTCAGAAATCTAAAAAGAGATGCATGGAATGCGTGCCTAACCCATTTTAGGCCATGCCACAGCTGTGCTGGGGAAGCCATGGGCAAGTACAGATTGAGGTCTAGCCCCAGGTAGCAAGTGGCTTATGAACCTACACGGACATCATCATCATCATCCATTGATGATCAGAGGTGGTGGCCTTGTCACAGGCCAGAGCATGCTCTTCTGATCATTCAGAGGGGCAGGACACAAAGATGGAGAGGCAGCATTCCCACCTCTCTGGACACATAGTAGATAGGAAAACCTGGAGGATCAGGGGACAGCATGTGAGTGTTAAAGGTTCTGGAGCAAGGAGAGTGAGCCCACGAGTTGGTAGGGAACTGAGAAATGGATTGTGCTCACACACAGGCCTGTCAGGTCCTATTATCCGAGTGGTTTTGATCCATCTATTTCTGTCTTACTGAACCTGTTGGTGGCAAGTTTTAGTGTTGGTTCCATTAATTACTAATGTAGTTTGATGAAGAGTCCCTGTATGACAAGGTAAATTTGACAGTCTTCTTCACATTTGCAGAACTTGCTTCAGCTTTGGAAATTGAAATGGGGATTTTTCTGGGCCACAGCCCCATAAGCTTGTGTGTCTTCATTCCTAATTGCTTTCTTTGCCAACCCAAATGGCCGTGTTCCTGGGAGTTGAGTTTTTAAAGCCTTTTTTTGTATAACTTGTTTTCACAACTAGCCCTGTATGTTTCCTCTCCTGCCAATTACCTGGAGCTGGGATACCATTTATTTATTTCCTCCTTTACCCTCTCTCTCAAAGACAATGGGCAGGTTCTCAGCCTACCTACATGGTGGACTTTAGGTAACATCTCTGTAACAACCAAGTTTGATCTATAAGTGTGCTTGGCTATATGTCTGATCTGCAATACTTGTAATAGTTTAAAATTCAATAAATACATTTTTAACAGTTGCTCTGTGAAAGCTGATTGCTATTCTTGGTCTTAGGACAAACCTGCACCAGCCACAACTGTTGAAAACAGATTTTTATTTTCTCCAAACAGTTTTTCTCCATCCCTCAGGCAAT